TTTTTTTTTTTTTTTGTACCAGGAATTGAACTCAGGACCTTGTACTTGCCAGGCAGGCGCAAATGCCACTGAGCTATATCCCTGGCCCAGGGTTTCTGTAGTCTTAAAGTGGAATAAAATGCTGGCAGAGGAGAGTGGTTGGCTCAGCAGGACAGGACTTGCGTAGCACACCTGACCCTTTCACCCCCTTACAAAAAAAGTGATTCTTACTGTGAACATGGGTGAGGCAATTGGATGGGGGTAGGGAGAGGCTCTGCAGACTGGGGATAGTGAGCTGGTGACGCGGTTGGAGAGGGCATGGAGCCTCTTCACAAGCCGGCCTGTCAGCCGCACTGCCTCTATCTTGCCATTCCCTCACCTCTGTTCCCTCTTCACCTAGACGTCTTTGAAGATAAGAAAGTGAAACACCTGAAGAAGAGCCTTTGCTCAAAAGTGTCACGAGGAAAGAGGAAGAGAGGCTCCAGTGATCCTGCGGGCCCCGTAGATAGTGCAGTGAAAAAGAAAGTGACCAAGGTGACTGTTAAATCTGAAAACCTCAAGGTGATAAAGGACGAAGCCCTCAGCGATGGGGAGGATTTCAGGTGAGATGGCAAGAAGCATCCGACCCGCGTTGTTTTTTCTGATCAGAAAACCCACTCTTGCTTGTCGCTGGGATCTGGGGAGCAGGAGGGTCTTTAAACTATTCAGACTGGAAAGTGCTGGAAGTTTACATGCGCAGTGATAGCTTTCAGACAGTGACGTGTTCCTAGTGCTACAGCTGGACGGTGACAGCTCTAGGAAGAGAGCCAGGTCAGCGGCTCCTGGTCCAGCGCTCCTTAGACCACGCAGAGATGGTGGATGTGTGCGAGGTATTGCCTGCTGCTGCAGCACAGCCTGGCGCACCTGTCCGCAGAAGCTCACACTCCTCAGTGTTTATCCGGCACATCCTTGTACTTTGCTGCACTTGACTTGTGTGCATTTTTTTTTCTTCGGCCTGGACTGCTTTTTTCTGCTTTGAAAACCTATATCCGAAGCCATCTGCGCTAGCGGTTTCATTGTTTTTCCCCTGCTTTCTCCTCTGCGTTCCCACCATCTTTCTGAAGAGTGAATGTATCTTCAGTGAATGTGAGACATTACAGTTATGTGGGACCCAACCCATGGGCCCAGACGCTCCTCGAAGCTCTCCAAGGCTGGAACCACCTGTGGTTCATTTCCCAGGCCTGTGGCATTTTGGCCTGGGCCTCTTGTTTGGTGCGTGCTGAGTATTTTGCAGTATGATCCTTCATGTTAACCTGTGGTGCCCAAGGAAGGTGAGCCTCATTGATTGCCTGCCTGCTGAGCAGGTGGCGGGGAGGCAGTTAGAGGGAAGGCAGAAAGGTACAGTAGTAGGTTCTTTGCTCACATCCTGGCTTGCAGGGGCTGCTGTTCCACAGCCTGTGGACCTGGCACGGGAGAGTATCCAGCAGAGGGCAGCGGTGGGAAGGGGCAGGGCAGGCAGCAGCTTGGCGCTGTAGCTCCTCTGTCCTCTTAGACTTTGCTCACTGACTAGCTGAAGCCCCTCTCCAGAGACAGCTTCTCAGAGATGGACCAGGGTGCTGCCGAGGACAGCTCTGAGCCCCCTTGACCTGAGAGCCTGCTGGTCAAGCCCTAGGTGCACGGACATTTCTGTGTTTATTGTTAAGGGAACAGTTTTGCTAATACGGTGTTCGAGAAAGTGGTAGGCCAAAAAGGAGAGTGTGCATTATTGGAGTTGAAGGCTGAGGATTGGTTATTTTACGTGTGCTAAAATTTTAGCTGATAGTAACAGGTAATAGCAAGTGTTACCAATATTTACACAAGCTAAAAGTAACTCAGGGCTGGGAAGAAGGTCTGGGTTCAATCCCCAGTACTACAAAACAAAAAGTTAACAGTAACTCAGAACTCCAGACACATATATGAATTCGGAGAAATGTTAATATACATTAACAGCTGTTTAGTCTTTAGCTGTTGTTTAGCTAGCTACTTGCATGTGCAGTAGCTACTTAATTAGCTAATTATGCATGCTTCTGTTATGATACATCTATGTCTAGTCATAGCCTTACTTACCATTTTTTTTTGTACCGGAAATTGAACTCGGGACATTGCACTTGCCAGGCAGGCACTGTGCCACTGAGCTATATCCCCAGCCCAGCCTCACTTATCTTGAAGTTAGGAGTTCTATTAACTTTAGCTTCCTTAAGCCTATTTTTGTTTTCCTTTTGTTTTGTTTTTTGAGACAGGGTCTCACTTTATAGTCCAGGCTGGCCTTGAACTCAGCTATGTAGCCCAGGCTGATCTCAAACTCACAGCCGTCCTTCTGCCTCAGCCTCCCAAGTGCTGGGATTACAGGGTGCACCACATGCCCAGCCTTCCTTACATCATATTTTTCAGGGTGGAAAGAAAGCCTGAGTTGGTTCTTAGGTGGATCAGCCAATGAAAATCTTCTTGTTTGTGGCTTCCAACTGCACATAAATGCACTAGATATCACAGCTTTTGGGTCTAGAACGCAAATTGCTACTATGGCTTCTGTGAATCTAGCGTTCACCATTTTCAGACATAGCTGTGTTTTCCTGCACAAAGGTTATAGACGATAGTTCTGTGTTTCAACAGTATCTCTAGTATTAATGACACTGATAATTAGAGCGTGTCTTGATGAGCTTTTGAGAGTCTCACTAATGGAGGAAAGGCGTCCACATGCACCACCCTTCCATACATAGTGGCAGTGGAGTCTTCACATGAGTAAACCGAAGAGTAAGTTTTTAAAATGTGCTTAGCCTGAAAGTTACATAAGGATGTCTAACACTTCTTCGTCTTCTTTCTTATCATCTACCAGGGACTTTTCACGTGACCTCAAGAAGGTGCAGCATCCAAAGAGAGAGGCTGCCATGGGCAAAGGCAGTGACGAAGGAGACGAAGAAAGTGAAGATGATTGGGAAGAGGTTGAAGGTGAGGCGTCTTTCCCCACAGTGTAGTCTGGTTGTTTTCTTTTGAAACTGATAAAACCTAAGACTGAAGAACAGGTTGCAGTAGAAAGTTCCTTTTTCCGTTGAACTCAGAGGCACTGTGCCACTGTACTATATCCCCAACCCTTTTTAATTTGAGAGAGGGGCTTTCTTAAGTTGCCCAGGCTGGCCCTGAAGTTGCCAGCCTCCAGTCTAACCTCCCAAGTAGCTGGGATTACAGAGATGCACAACCATGCCAGGCAGAACTTGGTTTAATATAAGGAATACTCTGTGAGCAAGATACCAAAGAAGGTGGTAGCGCTGGGGGTATAGCTCAGTGGCACAGCGCCTGCCTGACAAGCACAAGGTCCTGAGTTCGATTCCCGGTACGAATAAAACACAAAGAAGGTGGTATATTGTCTTGCTCTGGTGACTGCCAAAGGGGAAGCTGTGAATAGAGAGACAGTTTTGGAGTACTCAGACTGAGTGCAGACCCTAACCTCGCCTCTTATATTGCTCCCCGAGCAGGAACTTGACTTTCCTGAGCTCAGCTTTTTCATGGGTAGCATTCTACAAACACTGGGTGTTTAGTATGAGCATGTATTCTAGGTTTAGGACTATTGTGGGAAGAAAATGTTTGCAAATGCAAGAAGTTGGAGCATCATATGCTCAGTAAGTAGCAGTAATGTGATCATTCCTGATTTCTTCTGTTGAACATGATTTTTTTCCCCAGCATTTTACTTTCAAAGTATTTAAACCTACAAAAACTGAAAGTGTGTGGACAGTCTCTTCACCTAGATTTGTCAACTTTCACATGTTGTGGGACCATTTGAGAATAAGTTGCAGACATCCTGACACTGCTTCTAAACACTTCAGCATGCCCTGAGAGTAAGTCATTGTCCTCCCTGGCAAAGCAACATTATCACAGTTAAGAGAAAAAAATAAGTCCCCAGTTGTATGCTGGACATGGTGGTGCATGCCTATAATCCCAGCACTGGAGAGGCTGAGGCAAGAAAACTGCTGCAAGTTTGAGGCCAGCCTGGGCTACAGAGTGAATTCAAGGCCAGCCTGAACTATATAGTGATACCCTGTCTCAAAAGAAAAGAAAAAGAAACCAAAAAGTAGAAATATCTTTATAGCTGTACCTTTGGCCTTTTAATAATTCAGAGTTCAGTGAGTTCGTAAGCTTTGCATTTGGTCATTATGTCTTTTTACTCTTTTAAAATCTAGAACTATACACCCCTCACTTCCAGAGGGGCCTTGTGTATGTTAGGCAAGTGCTCTACCACTGGTTCATACCCCCAGCCCTATGTATTTATTTTATTTTGAGAGAGGGTCTTGTTCAATTGCTCAGGCTGGTCTTCAACTTATGATCCTCCTGCTTCAGCCCCCTGAGTATCTGAGATTGCATGTGTGCACCCCTGTGGCTGGCTATACCGCTTCTTTTGAAGGGTGTAGGCCTCTTATTTTTTAGAATATCTAATGTTACTAGGTTTTTTTTCTTTTCTTCAGTCTTTTTGAGACAAGGTTTTGCTATGCAATTCAGGCTGGCCTTATACTCACTTGGTAGCCAAGGCTGGCCTTGAACGTGTGGCAATCCTCCTGCCTCAGCCTCTTGAGTGCTGGGCTTACAGGCATGTGCCACCACACTCTGCTTAATTGTCTGATAAATAGATAGCTCATGGAATGTTAAACTTATGTCAGTATCCTTTATAGTTCTTAAAAACTATAAGTTAAGTCCAAAGACTTGATTGGCTTTAGATTATTTTTCTTTTTGCATAAGGATACCTCCTGGGTGGTGTGTTATGTTTGTTGCACCCATTAAAACCCATCTGAAGCCAGGCGTGGTGGCACACACCTGTAATCCCAGCACTCAAGAGGCTGAGGCAGGAGAATCCTTGTGAGTTCAAGACCAGCCTGGGCTACAAAGTGAGCTCAAGGCCAACCTGAACCGCATATTGAGACCCTATCTCAAAAAGACAAAACAAAACAAAACAAAGCAAAAAAAAACCATCCGAGTAGTTGGAGCTCTGTTTGAGCTGGTACTACCACTGCATCTTTTGACATGGTCTCATAGTTTTGGAGGCTATTTCTGCTTTCTAGCACAAGGTTTTCCAGGTTTACCGTTCCTTTCCTTGGTCCAGACCTGAAATCAACCTTTTCTCTCCTAGAAGCCCTGGTTTCATTTTATTTTTCTTTGTACAGCAAAGCAGCTGTACTTCCTCTTCATGGTAACAAATGAAAACAAAACACCTCGGTTACAAGAGTATTAAAATATAAAATAGTGATAAATCTCACCCCAGAATTTACAAGACCTGTATACAGAGAACTAGAAAACACTACAAAGAAATTACAAATTTCAAGAAACATTTTAAGGTGAAACACTTGAAGATAACAGTTTTCTATGAAAATCCAAAAGACTTTAAATCATTAAAACCATTTTGAAAAAGAAGCAAAAACTTTGGACATAATTTCCAGAATTAGTATACATTTATAATACCTTACTCTTTCACCGTCTCACACTAGGGAGACAATACGATACTTACATACATGTATGAGTGATTTATTTCACTTATAAGTATAGGCTCAGGTTGCATCCATTCACCTATAAAAGTCTCCAGTTTATCCTATTTTATGGATGAATAATAATCCATTCTATACAAAAACCACATCTTTTTTTATCCATTCCTTGGTTAATGGGCATTTGGGTTGTTTCCAAGATTTAGCTATTACAAATTGTGCTGCCGTACACATACATGCACATATATCACAGTAGTATAATGTTTATAATTCTTCTGGGAAATACCCACAAGAGGAATACCTGGGTCAAATGGGACCTCTAATCCTACTTTTTTGAGAAATCTCCACACTGATTTCCACAGTGGTTGCACAAGTCTACACTCCTACCAACAGTGGAGAGGGTTCCTTTTTCCCCACAGCCCTTCCAGCATTTGTTGTTGGTTCATTTCTTTATAATAGCCATTCTTTCCAGGATGAGATAGAATCTCAGTGTTGTTTTAATTTGCATCTCTCAAATGGCCAGTGATACTGAACATTTCTTCATGTATTTGTTTGTATTTCTTCATCTGAGAAGTATGTA